GGAAAAAATGGGCTTGTAATCTTTAAGCGCGAATCTCGTGGCTTTATCGGCAGGCGATGAAAGGGGAGGGGGGCACTCAACTAATTGATTCCCTTTCTCCTCTCGGCCAGTGAATTATTTTAGACACAGCAGCGTGGGTTGCCATCAAGCATAAATGATGTCACACGTTTGATATTGTTGGGTATGGGTGGAGGTGAAGCAGGGGGTAACTTAAGCGACTCAAAAGAAACACACATCTAAGATAATTTATATGTAAACATACAAAAGAAGTTATCCTCGCCAGCTGTATAGGCTCTGAAATGTCTCTTAAATTACCCAGTATTTTTTTTTTACTATAATTTTGTCTACCAAAAATATTTTTAAAAAGCTGAAATCGTTACATTCACAAACAGGAGCAGGGAAGGAGAAGGTCGGGGCCGCTTATCAAACAAGAGAAAATTAACGTTAGACACATGTCGGGCAATCAACTAGCATAACCCTCGCCTAATTTAGAAAGTGTCGAAAGGTTAGCGGTCCCCACTTTTAAAAATCTAAATGATATCGCTTGGCTGACTTCATCCATAGCTGATTATATGAGGCGATGAGTGGGGTTAAAAGGTGGGAAGAATGCATGGACCAGTGCATAGTTTTTTCCTAACTAGTAGATCCAATATGCGAATTCTTTCTTTCATTTAAGGCCCCCCCCCTTTTTTTTACATTCTCGCTGCATCTCATTGTAAAAACATTTTCGGTTTTATATTGTTGGCACCTGATTAAGAAAAAGTAGACGATTACTTTGATAAAAAACACAATGTCAGAAATGCTTCCGCCTATTACAGGCAATTTTCACAATGCTCACGTAGACCGTAATAACCTAACCAGAGATGATAAGCGGTGAATGCTCACTTCCTCAATTAAATTATATAATTCACAACAGCTATTTGTTTATAGAACCGTATGGGATATTTTTTACTTTGTCTTAGCAGATGGCACCGTTTAACATCAGAAGTGTCGAAAGTAACATTAATTTGGCCGCTATTTTAAAATATAAGTTTTCTCTTCTTTCACATTGTAAATGTATAGTAAAATTTTATTTGTGAAGAATATATTATAAAAATAGTGAAATATAAATGATGTAGTAAGTCCTAATCATGTCAATAATAATTGACCTCTGATTGTAGCAGTAAATCAGACGGCGCACTCTGATGCAAAGAATGCAAACTTTTCTCGTTTAAAACATTCGTTCAGCTAACCAACCAAGAAGATCGATTCCAGGTAGTTACACATGAACTGCTGCAAAGTGTTCAAGTAACTTGAGTTACCTGTAAACAGTTTATCATGAAATTAACATTATCTTAAATTTCAGTCAAGTATGTTGTGCGCAGCCAACAGCTGATATTGCCGGCAGATGTGGAATACATTAGATGAAAAAAAAAAGACAGCTTAAAACTACTGCTGGTAGTTTTTAAATTATACAAACCCAACGCTACAGTCAGCTGCGGAACAAACGCAACTTTACCGACAACTCAACTGTACGAGATGAAGTCGATAATAATATACGTTAAATAGAAGAAGGGAGCTCAGACAGTTTGGTGTTAACATTTCTGGACAGAGGTGACTCGGTTTAACGAGCTTCTCGTCCAACAGACTTGATAGTCAAGGAAAGTTTGGATCTTTTGTTTTTCGTTTCAACGAACAAACCAAAATCAAACCCCGCAATTAGTGACGTTCGCCATGGGTGTAAATAGTCGCTAGTCACCAAGAGACACTGAATGCTGGGCACATGCCTGTGGGAAATGTACAGCGGAATACTGTCTTGGGTGTTAGAGGCTTTATGGAGGAGAACTTCCTCAGTTGAGGTACACAAGATAAGTACAATATCAAATGTGACCTCCATTTTATGAAGAATCCGCCGAACCCTGTGGGTATGTTTATCAAAGAGCTAGCTGTCTAACGGCCAAGACGCAAGGAACAATGGTCATTGACCATGCAATCGTTACAGCTTCTGAAATTAGCCGGCGTCAGCATCACCTATGTTTTTGCACGAATTACAGCCGGGCTAACCAGGCTAAGTTCGCTAATTTAAAAAAAAAACAAAACAAGTTTTACACGTTATAAAAACAACAACCGTTCATTTTTTATATACACCATGCGATTTTTCCCTGCCCTGCGATGAATCGAGACTACACCTAATGATGGTAAACTAATTCATAGCCCCTGCATATTGAAGATCGTACACTTTAAAGGTCGTGTGCGTGAAAGATATACTGAAATATATACAACGATACTAGTTTGCCGCATTAATATTGGGCGGTAAAAATTATTTACACACACCTCCTAGCCGTTTATGACACGGGGTAGAAAGTCTCTCTAATTGGTAGGCCTAAGCGTCATGGCTAACAACTACAGAGAGACGGTAGATGACGGACTGATCACACTACATAACCCTATATCACAACTTGTCTCAACTTAAAAGTTATAAATACGCCTCGTCTCCGGTGACAGGTAATTTATGCACGATAAATTTCCCGCTGAGTTGTAGTGTACGACTTGCTGATATAAATAAACACGCCATGAACTTGAACTACAGCATTAGGCGAATACTACTGTTATACGGACCCCCCCCCCCCCCTTACTTCCTTCGTGCTTTAAATTATGTGATGAAATTTGTGAACGTGTATACATTAGCATTTCATCAACTCTTGTAGGTATGTGAAATGAGGGGAAAACAGTTCAATTTCTGACATCATCGCTACCGCAGCCATACAGGCGCAGCCTCCCCTCCCCGGGGAACAGACGGAGTGCCCGATGTGTGGTTTCATTTTACTCAGCGGCTTCTGGTTTTGGAGCAGGAGGTATAGAGAAACAACCCCAGAGCGATACTCGTCCTCTATTTTATTCATGCTGTAAACCTGTTCATAAATTAGCTAGCATATGCACACACAAATATAACGGAGTTACTCCGACAAATGTGTAAACAAATGAGATAAACGAAATACCATTGGTAGACACACACACACACACAAATTCGAGGAAATATTACAAATATTAAAGGTGAAGGGTAGAAACACTTTTATTACGGGAAGCTGCCTAATTATGAAGTAACATAAATGAGGCTTAATGTAGTTAAATTATTTCAAAATTATGTTATTTATCATCCAATTCAATCACCATTGAACTGGCTGATCCTTAAGCATTTTCATTTAATCCATAACAATCTATATATTCTACATGAGCCTGTACACGAATTAAGGAAGGAATGTACAATATGCTAAGGCCGCAGGACGACCCCAAGACTGCCGTGAATGATAAACATGCCTATCAATGAACAATTGAGAAACATGGCACGTAGACGGTGAAACTAGGACAGGGCAACTAGTGAAGGCTGCAGATCGATGGTAAGAAAAGATCGATGAGTGTACGTGTAGTGAGCCCACAGTGAGGGAAAAATAAAGGAAAGGAGGAGCCGTGTACACAGTAAACGCTTACAGTAACTACACTGACACACGTAATTAGAGCCCAATATTTCCAGTCAATGACTAATAAGAAAATCATTAGTGCATTATGTTAAGGAGACGTCTAATTCTTTTCAAGTTTAATGTTTCATTCACGTATTGATGTAACTATCTGTATAATAGCCCGTGTCTTATTATTTTACAGTTTTAAGAACGCTTTGGTTTGCAGTAGATCAGCCTTTAAAATATGGACCAAAAAAAAATTCACACACTTGGAAAGAACACGGACCATTTTAAAAAAAATGAATCAAGGTTAACACGTGACTTATCTAGGGTTTTCTCCCTTCTTTATATAACAGAAGATAGCTCTTTAAAAACGTTGACCAGTTGCTTGTCGATCCTCATTTTAGCACAGCAACTGATGTCATTCTCTATTATGTGGACAGGGAGGGGTAAAAAAAAAAACGAGGACAGCCTAGCGAAGAGCAAAATCGATATCAGCCGTTTTGGAGTGACTCACGCTAGCATGTATTTTCCCAAGTTCTGACTAGGTCATTGGCAACTGTAGAGTCTAAATGAGATACAATAGCGTTGTGTCCCCGTGTAAGTGGAAATGGTGAGATTAGATGCCAAAGAGAAATGTTTCTTATTATAAGGTCTAAACCAGTATAGACCAGATGGCATACCATTTCTTTGAGCACTAAATCTACTAAATTAATACTAAATTATATAAACATGTATTGTTAGCAAGGTTTTGACAAAAGGGGAGGCAGCTACCAGCTACACTTTTATTTCAATTTGAGGTGGATAATAAAAAACTTCTCAACAGTAATGATAAATGATATGAATTCCTGTAAGGTTTTGGGCATAGGCCATTTCAATCAATATTGAAATGAAATGTTACAATATGAATAAATATTAGTTAGACAAAGAGTAAAAATTATAAAGATAGATGGGATGTGACAAAAACAATACAGAATTTTACAAAATGTCAAATGTAACTTTAAAATGACACAACCGAGCATACGACACATAGGCCACAGGTTTATAGCTAGCTTCTTAATCAATATAATTTTAAGGAAAAAATAAGTTCATTTAAAATTACTGAGCAAAACTGTAGCTCATAGTTTAAAAACCATAGGTTTTGCAAATGAAAGACTTGAGCATTTGCCAGCTCAGCACCTACACAGCCTGTCTTTTTTTCTATGCCTACTTCCTCTTTTTAGGCCAGGTAAAATAGTTGTGTGCATCGGATAGAATTGAGGCCATCAATCACTAAAAATGATGTACAGGTACACACATAAAAGCACTAAGCTTATTCTTTTTTCAGTTGCTGAGCCTTCTGAATTGTGAACTTTCTACTTCTACAATGGCTAAGACAGCTATAAGAGTCCAGTTATAAAAACACACAAATATGTTGCTTAATTTTCTTTTTCAGAAATTTGTTTATTCCATGAGGTTATTTTGATGTTGAGCAAGGTCTGATAAGAATAAAAGACTTAGAAGTGGATGTATAATTATTACAGCTTAAGCTGATTACATAAGGTAGTAAAAAAAATATCTTACCAGCAAGAGCCTTAATCCTGGATCTCTCAAATAGTTTTGATGAATTATTGCCAGCATCAAAATCATCATCTACTACTCCAGGGTCCCACCGGACATTGTTCACTAGTGATTCTATTTCAGTCATTGTGAGAACTTTCTTTTAACTCTCACCCTCACTCACTCCACCACGATCCTAATAGATAATATAAATTAGCTAATTTGTCATACACATTACATATATTAAGACTTGTGGGCAGTTATAGATTTTTAAAATATCGGTTAAAGTATTTTGAAATATTTGAAACACTACCGTAATAACAGGAACATCTAAATTACTATTCAAAATATAGGCATAGATTCTAGTTTAAAAAGATAAAAATGTGTTAAAAAGATAAAATGTGTTAAGTGATTGTTAAATGTTTAGGCCTAAGTATTTGTAATGGCCTTTTCATTAGCCTTATTTAAAGTTTAATTTGATATTAATCTAATCCAAAAATGTACATTTATAAGCCTAGGATTGAAATTAAGCTTAAGTATTAGGTCCAATGAATAGTGAATAGGGCCTACTGTGAATACAAGTTCATAAAACAAACAAAACCTATTCTAGTACTCTTAAAAGTTAAACAAATAGGGCTAATTCCTAAGTAGTAGGCCTACTTTTAATAAATTTAATTACATAGGCCTAGTCTTAATTAATTCAATAACGTAATTTCATTGTTGTAAGGGTGGTCCACATCCTTGGTCTTGGTAGAATTTTTTTTTTAAAATATTTTTCTTTTGATGCTGAATTAGAATTGCATCACAGTCAGTATGCCCTAATGTTATTACTATTTTACTAACACTCTAGTCTAAGCCTAGCCTAATAACTAAAGTAAAATATTTTAAATCCTATTCCTAATAAAAGCTGCAAAGGTCCAGACCAAGCCTTCCTAATTTTAATAATTTAGTAATTTACCACGAGTGATCACTTGACAATTTTTTAATTTTACAACTAGATCTAGACATCTAGGCCTAGAGATCTAATCTAGTCTAGATCCAGATCTACTACTTCAGTTATTAAAAATATCGTTAATATAGCTAGCACCACCAGAATAATTTGCAATAAATTAGATCTAGAATCGAGATTTAGATCTAGTTGATTTCTAGATCTAGAAACTAGAGTCTACCTAACATTTAACATTGCCTTACAAATGTGACTATTATACGAATGCGGAAGCGGTGCATCCAACCAATAACAAGAATCTATGGACGCTTGTTTTTAAGGTGTTATACCGGCAGGTTGCTTTGATTACACGGAATGCTAAGGAGAGCTTTATCTCAAGCGCAGAGTCGCTAATTCATGCCCATTAACTTCAACTATGTTTTTCAATATAAAATATTGTTAAACGACACTTGCATACCCTAAAGTAATACAAAATGTAATGAATATAGTACACCGCCATTTTGTTGAAGGGCATTTTCCTCCATCAGCCATACCGTCGTAAGCCGCATCAGGTTGTAAATCCAACAAATGCAACAGCTTCTAAACACACATTTTAAAATAAATATTTACCTGGAGGATAGGATCGTTTACTATGTAAATAAAATATCCACAGTGTTTTGCAATCACCCACTATTACTTTAAAATAGTTTCACTAGAGTAAATATCCTTCTATTTTGCAGAAGATTGCGGGAACCGACGCGAGTTCGAAGCACATCAAAATGAAACTGTTATCAGAAAACAAAATAGTCCCAAGAATACATTTGCTATTTTCTTTTATTGAATTACATACATTTTACACCATTAATAGGAAATAAAATTTAATAATATAACTATGTAAATAGTTTTAATTAAGTGCAACTAGTTTTATTACCTTAGGCCTAAAATGATTGTTGTATTTAATTTATCTCTCGCATGAATACATTTTTCTAGTTCTGTCGCTATATGCCTCGACCAGACTCTTTGCACCTTGATGAATAATGCATGTTTGGGAAGTTATTTTTGGCTTTAGATTTTCCCCGTAAGTTTAATTCTATTGTTTGTAATGTCATAATACCTGAGTCAAGGAATTCTAATATATGCGTTTTTAATTTTGCATACAGATCTTTTTAGAACGAATCTATTAGCATCATAAACTACTATTATTTTTTATAATGCGTTATTTTTGTTTTATTTTTGTGGTAGTTTACCTTACTAAATCTGTGTAAATGTAGAATGGTCTAATTTTAACTGGCTAACACGTGGGCCCTTATTATGTAACCGGTAAAACTATCATACGGGGGGGGGGGGGGCGCACGTATATCTTCTTATATTCTCTCTATATTTTTGAGTTTGTGGGGGGGGGGGGGGGGCGCTAGACGTTCTCTCAACTGACGTGCATGAGCATCTAAGGGAAGGCGGCCGACAGGCGCCGACATCAAGTAACCAAGGGGGTAGGAAAAAGGTAAAACCCTTTTTGAGCTGCATATTAAGAAAATAGACTAGTACTTGGCTTTCAGACTTATTTAACAATTTTCAGCATCAATCGTGTCGTTAAAAAAACTGTTAAGGGACAGTGGCTGGTAAAAATTTGAACGGCGTGGTCGCAGTGGCGTCGCTAGGTCGGGTGTCACCCGGTGCGGCACCTCATGGTGTCAACCCCCCCCCCCCCAAAGATTATATATATATATATATATATATATATATATATATATATATATATATATATATATATATATATATATATAAATCATTAATTTAACTGGAAAAAAGCATATTGCTTCTATATATTTTACATTTCTTTTGTCTTGGTGTCACCGCCTAAATGGTGTCGCACGGTGCCACCCCCCGCCCCCCACCTTGCGACGCCTCTGCGTGGTCGGTAGGGAACCCGAGGTTGAACGAAGTCACGTGTATATTGAATTTAAGTAAGAGTGGTTATTTTTAGATTATGTTTGTAACTTTGTTTTACCGAGTAAAAAAGGGTAATAAAATAGTAAGAGAGAGAGCGGTGACACCAAATCGAAAATGCTGAATTTGTGGAGGGGATGGGGGTGACACCATAAGTTACCTGAACGGGTGAAACGCGACCTAGTGACGCCACTGGTTCAAATGTATTTGTGTAAAATGTTCTGTTCTTAGCGTGTAACATGTAAGCCTTTATCTGTGTATCAATGAGCGGATCTGGGAGGGACATTAGCCCCATTTAATCATACAGTTTATATTTATATACACACACCCTTCCTACACTCGAACAAAACAACCACCCCGAAAGGCTTGATCCTCTTATTCTCTCAACCCCTCTCAACGTGGCGGGCCTAATAAAAGTAGACCCTATATGACACTATATGTACTGTTTGACCGTTGACGAGTGCTCTAGACTGATTTCGATTTTAATGAATAATATAATGTGTACATAAACGTGTGAGGGGTGGGGGGGGGGAAAGTAGGCAGAGTTTCTTCCAGACAGCCCCCTCCCCCCAAAGAACGTCTACCGCCCCCCCCCCCCCCCCATCCCCGGTCAAAATAGAATTTATATAGAAATCATATACTTTGTATATTTTTACCAGTCGCCGCCCCACCCCCGGAAAATTTATTCCCCCCCCCCACCCCCGAAGATTTCAAGTCCCCCCCCCCCCCCGGAGAAAAAAGTCTGAAAGAAACACTGTGGGTAGGGTTAATGAAAACCCCCTCCGCCTTTCCAGTAGTTATCATATTTTTTCCCCAATGCTTTTAAAAATTCCGAACAATAATTGCTCGATTGCTAATCCAAAACAAATGCAACAGTGAATTACAAGGTAACAAATAGTTATCTGAACCGGATTGAAGCTAGCTGGGGGAACACGCGTGTTTTAACTGAACCATTGATGTGCTCATCTTGTTGACACACACACACATACACAGATTGTGAGTCAATCTTTATGTCTGATACAACATGGACAATAGACTCGAATAGATCATTCGCGTCGTGTGCCCATATAATATAAGCTGGAAGAAAACTTGACTCTGAAATACAACTATTGTAACTGTTGTTGACGTGCTTCCAAGGGTGCGGCTTTTGAAGTTTGGCATATGCATGGAAGGACTCTGCCAGAATGGTCTTGCGGCCAAGTCATTTACACAATTGTGATAAACTGTTTAAAAAAACACACTAAAGCCTACTCATTCGATCTCATTTAATTCTATTTAGTTAATTTCTTTTTGAAGTGATGAAATACACTGTGGTAAATTGCGAACTGTCTGCGTAAGTGTGGATAGAAACGTGGCGTAGGTAGGGTTAAGTTGAAGGGCGGTTCCAGATTGTGCCCAGATGAATTTTTTTAAAGGCATCTTTCCGGTAGAAGGAGGGGGGGAGCGAAATTTTAAAAAATCTATACAGAAAAAATATATTTAAACCAGCGTACGCCTATCCAACCCGGAAATTTTAAGTGCCCCCCCCCCCCCCCCCCACATGAAGTTTTAAGAGTGGCTCCTCCCCCTGGATATAGGCTAAATGTCTTAAAGAAACCTTGATGTCTAGTACAATCAAAGCCTCTGATTAGGAGACAGTCTATGGTCATCTAAAGCCTCCTGTTAGGAGACAGTATCCAGTCAACCAAAGCCTCTTTTTAGGAGACAGTCTCTGGTCATCTAAAGCCTCCTGTTAGGAGATAGTGTCTGGTAAACCAAAGCTTGTGTGTGTGGGTGTCGAAACCTACTTTAGCCTGTCGCTATTGAATGAACCCCTGTATGTCAGGAAAAGGTATTGTTACACGGTATTCGGCATAATTGATCTCACTAGCAGTGATGCATGACGACAGGTCAACGAAAAGGCTGGGGGTTATCAGTCCTAACATGGTCTAATAATAGAAAATCGAGAGTAGGGGAGACTACTTTTTCATGTTGCTTTTACAACATACTGACCGCAATATTATTCTGATTTCTTTGCTGCTGACAAGTATTCGTGACACTGATAAAAAACAAACATTTAATTTGGCCGAAATTTTAAAATGGAATAATAAGAATGTAATTTAAAAAAAAAAAAAATTAAAAATGCCCTTTTAATCGATTTTTACTATGCAGCCTTCTTCTGACTAATTCCAGATTAAATATAAATAAAAACATGCACGATTATTATTTGAACAGTCAGCAATTAAAGTTGAAGTGGTTGAAGCACTTTTCTTTTAGCAATCTCTACACACACTTCAAATGTGGAGCCTGGCGAGCTGATTAAGGTTAGTGTATCACCCTATCACTCCGTCCAGACCGGAACCAATCGTTTATCCCAACAGACGCTCTCCGGAGAGGTCGTTTTGGGTTTCTGGTGACGTCACACCACACCACAGCAAGACAATCTAATAACGATAATACGACAAGGGAGCTAATTAAATAAAAGATATTATAAATTCTCTGTTCAGCAACCATCAATAAACTACTAGGCTCGTGGGGTAGAAATCTATCATTGTTCTGGGGAGTCTACAAGCCATAGAGAGAAAGCGACGTGTAAGATGTTTGTGAGATCGTTGAAATAATGCACACTGGCAACAACTAGCCTACACTCATGTTTAGGCCTGTGCATAGAACATAATAGAACACAGTGCAATATTGTGGTTGTTTGCATTAAGTTTGGAACAATGGACATTATAGTATGATTATAGCACTAAAAAATGATAAACATATAAACAATGCAATACAATCTTCACGTGAAAAAAAAATGAAGAAGAAAACAAAAGTAGTTCAGGTTTGATTGCTTGTATTTCTTAGAATCTGATTTTGTAGTATTTTGAAATCATATATACACAATAGTTTAAAATTGTTTACTGACTTTTAAGTTAATCTAAGTATGATAATTAATTGTAAGTAAATCATAGAATTAATATGCATTAAAATTAATGTTAAACAAAACAGTTTTAAAACATTCCCATTTTAAGGAAGAAACATCTGCTTTCAAACAAAACATAAATCAACATAATACATATGAACAGACAAAAAAAGAATTCATGAAGACTTTTAACTTATTGAGATATTATTAAAAGACTTCTTTTTATTTTAAAAGTACCACATACTAAATGAAATGTTGTATGTCAATTATTTAAAAAAAATACTATGATCTTATGTGTTAGTATGACTGTGGGTTAGTGCATTTAAATACAAGTAATAAATGCAATTAGCGTTTTTTAAGGCGTAAGAAGATATTGCACACCAAGCACATTATAAATAGTTTCTCTTAATTGATACAATCATGAATGTAACAGTTTAAAAACAAGCAAATATACAACAATCATACACATAAACTAGCTAGTGAAAGACTTATTTATAAATGGAGTCTTAAAACAACATTAGACTTTTGTATTTATATAAGATAACAGCCAAACACATTTTCCATCCACAGCACCTAACAAAATGGCTAAAACAAAAATAGCTAGACATTTTAATCATCATTTGTATTAAGAGAAAAATACTTTTAGAATAACAGCATTGATCAACAGCTTTGTTGACAGTAACACATTTGTAATGAGAACCTTTTTGTTAATCAAAAGACCTTGATAACAACTAAATGGCTTGTATTTTATTTTGAAAGGATTTTGTATTTCTTTTGAATAAAGCTTCATGGTATTACATAGTTAGCTTACCATTCAAAGCTCATGGTGTTACACAGCTAGCCTACCATTCAAAGCTTCATGGTGTTACATAGTTAGCCTACCATTCAAAGCTTCATGGTGTTACACAGCTAGCCTACCATTTAAAGCTTCATGGTTTTACATAGTTAGCCTACCATTCATATTTTTTTTTAAATGAACAAAACAATAAACAATTTTACACAAACTATTTATACCAAGAGCTTTTCCAAGATAACTTCTTGGTAATTTACACAAAGATTCACATCAATCAAGCCACATTTTTCCATGATGGCTTGATGGTATTCTAAATAAACCAGGAACAGAAGAAATATTTCAAAGCTGACAGGTAAAAAAGGAAGCTCAAAATTCACAAAAATCTGCCTCAGCTAAATACTTCTTGTTCTTGATAGTGTCAGTATCATTATCTGATGTTTACGTTTCAAATCTCATTTCATTGATCTATTGCTTTTTGATTGATTTGTTCATTTTGTTGTTCAATGCTAGGATTATCATATCAAAAACAAATAATATTCTATCAGACTTAAATTACTGGTAGGTAACTGAATGAGATCACACAAAGCAGATTATTTTAGAAATGATTTTAAAAGAAACTATATTTATTAGTTAATCCTATCCTTAAACCCTTCATTACTAGTTTTCTGATCCTTAGTGTAACAGGAATAATGCACCAAATTTCCATTGGCATAGCGACAGAAGACACTGAAAAGGAAAAAAAAGATGAGATTAGTTAGCTTATAGCTGACAATACAATCCATGAAGAGTTATAAAGTATCTGTATACAACTTTTCTATAAAAATGCTGAGTTGCAGTAAAGTTAGACACTTAAAAATGTATAATTCAAAAGCCGTTGAGATTAAAGTTGCCTAATAATTTTTGTTGGGTAAGCAACCTGTATTTAAAATGAGATTAGGTATGATACAACTAATGTAAACCAAATAATATTGCAAGATCACATTAGATCTGAACTCCTCAATTAAGGTAAAGTTAAGTAGAAAGGCCATGGTCAGACATAGAAAGATAAGCTGATGTAAAAAAGTTGCCAGAGAAGTTTGGACACAGCTCAGGTACTCAACTACAGGGAACTTATATAAGGTAATAAAAGAACAGCGATTGGAGTAAAACATATTAAAAGATGTTAACAAAACCATACAGTAAGAAAAACTATAATTTGAAAAGCTTTTGAGTAATAGGATTAAAAAAAATAAAAATTTCCAATTTGTGAAATAACCTTTTTTCAAGCAAGTCATACAAAAATCAATAGAATGTGCCCAGCTGTTGTCTATATATGACACACAGGATGACTGTTAAAGTATACATGCCAATCTGGCACATCAAATCAATGTTGAAAATGTATGTCTCACTTCAACTATGGCTTTATTGTATTGATTTTCACACTTTAGTGACTACTTAATATGGCTATGGTTTTCTTAACCAAAACTAAATACTTCGATAATGCTCTAGTTTAACAACTATACTTTTTAAGAGCAAACTATTCATATTTTCTATTGCCAGTTTAAAAATTAATATTCAACCACATTTAAAAGCTTATAATGATGGGTCTGTTTAACATAATAATTATTTAAAACAATAACATAAGTTAAAAATATGTATAAAACAACTCTGTGTCATTTCATAATGTAGCATTATGAAAATAACAAAATAAACAGGTAATAAACATGGTAATTAGATGCAGGTTAGAAAATGTGCTTGTAGGCCCATTGTTTTCTCTATAACCCACAGAACAGCTTTAACCAGTTTAACTGTATTAGTACTGTAGAACAATGTAAAACTTAAAAAAATAAACAAGTTGAGCAAAAAAATTAAGTTACCTTTGTCCTATCCTCCTCTTGCAAGAGCGACACATGTCCTCATCTGTGACATTGATTTTTACTGATTGCTTATGGATTAAGTGTTCAGTCACCTGTGGATAAGACAATGGGTATGTGAATAAGGTCAAGGGATATGTGGATAAGGTCAAGGGATATGTGGATAAGGTCAAGGGATATGTAGATAAGGTCAAGGGATATGTGGATAAGGTCAAGGGATATGCAGATAAGGTCAAGGGATATGTAGATAAGGTCAAAGAATATATTGATAAGGTCAAGGGATATGTGGATAAGGTCAAGGGATATGTGGATAAACCTAGGGATATTTAGCTAAGGTCAAGGGATATGTGGATAAGATCAAGGGATATGCTGATAAGGTCAAGGGATATGCTGATAAGGTCAAGGGATATGTGGATAAGGTCAAGGGATATGTAGATAAGGTCAAAGAATATATTGATAAGGTCAAGGGATATGTGGATAAGGTCAAGGGATATGTAGATAAACCAAGGAATAAGACAATAGGGTATGTGGATAAGAGAAGGGAGTGAAATTTGTATCAAGAAAAAAGAGAAAAGCCATAGACAGATGTGTCATGCAGGGATTACCAGCTCTGACATGAAGGTTATATTAGTGCGTTAACATGTGTTATTGTATGTAGTGGACAACACATGTTTCCAAACAATGACAGTACTGTCACAACACAGCACACTGACTCATAGAACACTAGTTATTACAGCTCCAAAAACTTTTAACTCTTAAATTAGTTTTGCAATCAATGACAAATGCTAGTAGACAAAATGGAGGGCGTTATATTTTAACATACAGGACAAGCAGCAAGTTAATATAATATAAATAGGTGTTTCATTTTTAATCCCAGATTAAAATAGTGTATTATTGGGAACACTTTTTAAAAATGAGCATTCTCAAAGAAATTTGAAGACTATGTTCTATACACATCAGTGGTTATAGCTATGCCAATATAAATAGGAAGACACAATAATTTCCCAAAACTGGGAAACAAAGTAGGCCTATGTGTCTTCCCTGTTTAGCCATCATCTTGCTTGATTTATTTATCTAAATTTAAGTTGTTGGAACAATGAACAATAAATAAGCACACACCAATGCAGAATGCTCAGCTGTAGGCCACAACACAATGCTCTTATTTAGTTAAAACATTTAGTAACTGGCTTTAAAACAATGAATTAATTGTTTGCTATGCTGAATTTCAGTGATTGCAAAATAATATTGATCTTGTGCTTCTTTCACTTTCATGTGTTAAAAAGAATATTTTCCATTTCTTCCTTTTTGGTATTTACAAATATATTTAATTAATACTAAAGTAAATAAAAAAAACCAGCAGATAGCTGAATAGTGCTCCAAGAACTCAAATAACCCAGAGAGCAACAGAGGCTAGCCAACAAACAAAAGAAACCTAACCATGAAAGTGTGTTACACACCTACCAGGTGCCTCATATCATGCAGACAAACACAACTGCTCATGTAGGCTCACACTCATCAAGCTAATGGGTATACATTTAAACTGTATGCTAAGTCATTGAAAACATGGATAGATAAATTTGTACTAAAACCAGGCATGCTGATAATCTGTTTAATGTTTTAATAAAAAAGCAACTAACTACATTTTATTTAATGTAGCCATTATTGTGAATGTTTAGTGATGTTAAGTCTAGAGCTGGCAAAATGTTTTCCTCTGTTATTTGTGTAAAAACATGATTGTCCACTAAATGAGAGGAAGAAGGTAATCTCCCATAGGGCAGGACGACACCCATTATTATATCACGTCCTGCACATACAAGGTGGGCGTTTAAAGGGCGTCTAATTTTAGACAATGGAGGAAGTTTGGCCTGTCAGGGGAATCAGGTGATTTCAAGCCCATTGTCTTGTCATGTTAATCTTGGATATGACGTGGGGGGGGGGGGGGGGCTGCATCCAGACGTGGGGCGTATTCCGTGTTCATTTTACACCCTTAAATTACCGGCAGATCGAAAGCTAAGCAGAAAGGGTGGGGGGGGGGGGGGGGGGGAAGCGACGACTCCAGAACCAGATAATACGGCTTATAAGCCTATTCTAATGCAATTTTTGCTTATTACGTTATTTAAAACAGAGTGTGTTAAATGTATTGCAGTAAAAGAATGGAGATGTACGTGAATCCTACTTTTTTTTCCGAAGCATTCATTGAGTACTAGTACATATGTAAGCATAAACAAAAACAAACAACCCACACCTACGTTGGAATCAATGTTACTTAACATAAAATATGCAATTTTACCCATCACTTCCCCCCCCCGTACCGTTATATAACATTTCAAATGGACCACTGCCCTTATATTATAGCCAATATAGCACTTCTATCACCCCCCCCCCCCCCCCCACTTTTTCCTCCTTGACATGAAGCCAATGACCCAAATGTCAGGCATAATTAATACAAAGTATTACATACACAAAAATGGTTCAAACAATGTATTCTTAGAGGCGCATCAGTACATCGTACTAATCTTCTGAGTTCATCGCGTTTACAATCCGCGTAAATTGACCCCCCCCCTCCCCACCACCTACACACACAACACAATTAAATATTATTTTGTTGGGGCGGTCTGAATGCTTATCCAATATCATCTTACATATAATAACACCGTATACAAGAATTAAGTATACTCCCATTCTAAACGTCAAGACACATTTTACCTATCGGTATAACCAGTTCACAGTTGTCATATAGATCTACTTGTATAGAGCAGCCAAGCTCTACCTGTCCGTGTGATTGACGTTTGTTTAAGGTGTTCACATAGACTGACCTCATTTATTGACCTGATAGCCGTCTGCTAGTGAACATTCATCGACTGGTTACCTCAATACATCGATAATTTACAGGTAACGTTATGTCAAGATTAGTCGGTACGGTAACGTTATGTTCATTACAATTGTCGGTACGGTAAAATTGTCAACAATAGTCGGTACGGTAACGGTATGTCCATAACCATTGTCGGTACGGTAAAATTGTCAACAATAGTCGGTACGGTAACGGTATGTTCATTACAATTGTCGGTACGGTAACACTGTCAATAATAGTCGATACGGTAACGGTATGTTCATTAAAATTGTCGGTACAACAATAGTCTGAGAACATTTCTCACGTTTTTATTACAAGCTTCTACTAATGTAGCAAAGACTGTGGATTAAGGATTCTTTTCAACACGCTTTTACTATTACAGTTCGAGAAATGTTATTATTTTAGCGCATTCGAAAGTCATTTATCAAAATAAGTTTTTATACAATTGTTTCTTCCAATTAAATTAAATCAAGTAGATATAGCCAAACTGCGGCTACACATTACACCCAACCATGCAGCCAGCATGTTAACGAGACATCTAACTTGACGCAAATTTGTTTTTTCTTTCATTAAAATAGGCCTACTCATTCGCCAAACTAATGGAATGCCCTTGCTACAATAGGGATGGAAGCTACACATGAAACAACACGGCCCGATATCTAGGAGGTCTGTAATAGACTTAGTCACGGCCACATGCGTGTGTCTAACATGATGCCAAGTCACAGCAAGAACTTGTCTTCACTTTATACCGTTTTGTCTATTAGCCGTACTAATGTACCAGTGACCGTGTGCCAATCTGATGATAACTGACCGTTTCTTCATTCATCAGACATGGACATTCATTGTTCAACGACACGAGTAAACACAAACACATACGAAACACACACAGACAGACAGACAGACAGACAGACAGACAGACAGACAGATAGATAGATAGATAGATAGATAGATAGATAGATAGATAGATAGATAGATAGATAGATAGATAGATAGATAGATAGATAGATAGATAGATAGCATATATACACAACAATCATGCCTATCTGTATTTATTTATCACGTGAACATGTATGAAAGTAAATCACACTGTTAAAAAAAATCGATAGGACGGACCGTCAATACTATTGTAACCTCAGCAAAAATTACACGGGCAGTACAAAGTTAGGTTATTTAAATTTAAAGGTCACAAGGACGATATGGATTCACGAGCTGAGGGCCATTCATCTCCGTCTAAAACGAGGCAAAAGGCATGTCTGAACATCTAGCAAAACTTACACAACCAGTTTTATTGTGAAAAAAAAACATCTCTATGCTATGATATTTTAACGGCCCACCCTCTCCCTACTCCACACCACTAAACGAGCTTAAAGATTACAAATCGTGTGTTTGAATTACAGGCAGACAATCGCCAAGTTGTGTGCTAATTTAAGGCAGTTAAATTGTGTATAGGGGTGACATATTAAAGCGATACATTTAACAGGGTAATGTAGAGCGGGGTGGGGTTGCAGGACTCAACACCTGCTTTGACAGCTAACTTTTTAATTTTCTTTCTTTTTAAAAAAAAATGTTGATGTAATCCATGAAGTCAATATCATCGTATCAAAAATGTAAAAACGTGTGTAATCAAACACAATTGGCAACCAAGCCAACACCATCTCTCTACAGCAGCAACATGTGAACCGTGAAGAAAACAAAACACCAGCCACCAACCAGTAACCTTGGCGAGAGTTATTGATTAGGATATTATTGTAGACATTTTTAACCCTCTACCACTGCTCGCTTACATGTAGTGTGTGGATATTCCAATGGGTGGATATTCCAATGGGTGGATATTCAAATGGATGGATATTCCAATCAAGTCATTTAAAAACCCTGTACCAAAGCTTGCCTTGATGTAACGCGGTGATATGGCAGTGATATTTTAAAAACCTCTACCACTGCTTGCTTACATGTAATGTGTGGATTTCTCTGTGATATTTTAAAACCCTGTACTAAAGCTTGCTTACATGTAATGTGTGGATATCTCAGTGATATTTTATAGCCCTGTACTAAAGCTTGCTTACATGTAATGTGTGGATATCTCAGTGATATTTTAAAACCCTGTAACAAAGGTTGCTTACATTGACATGTAATAAGTGGATATACCAGTGATGACCTTTACCCCCCCCCCCCCTACCGTGCAACGCTAGAGTGATATTTTCGTATGAGCTGGTATTAGCATTAGTTGCTCAACTAAAAAAAACA